ATATATAAATATATATAAATTTTCTTCGGTGTGCTGTTCATTTTGCTTTGTCAGGTCTTGCCAATACTCTGATTTTGATTTTGACAGAATCAGCATTTAGGATCAGCTCACTCTGCATCTTGCCCATGTTATTGTCCTGTTCTTCAAACTCATCAATACTGCTGAAGCTCAGATACTTACTGTGCTCAGTGCATCAGTGCAAGAGTGGGCCTGAAAAGATACTTAACTTTGCCACTTCCTCATTCAGTGTAGATTATTTGACAAAAAAACTTTTATCCAACATTTATCATAAGTATTTTCAAATGATGTGTGGTTAAACTGATATATTTCAGTTTCAAAGCTTTTAAATTGTGCAAACTTGCAAACGTACAGGCCATTGTCTCATTTATGTCTCTCTGTATGGGCTTACATTTCTGCCACAATTCTGCGCGCGAAAGATCTTGATTGCAAAGATACTATTTAAACTGAGCTGGATGTTGACATCACTGAATTCAATGATGAACTGTCTTTAACTGAAAAATTAGTGTTTACTATTGTCATTTTGCATTATTGACACATTATTTTCCTAATTAATGCTGTTCAGTTGCTTTGACACAATCTGTATTGTTAAAAGCGCTATATAAATAAAGGTGACTTGACTTGACAGATCAATTTCACTTTGTTATTACACGGAAAAAACGGCATAAATACTGTAATATCAAACCTAAATCGTAGGTAATCAGATGAGAGGCAGCAGGGGGAAATTATTTCTCTGTTTAACAAACAAGACAGTGACTGATGCAGATAATTATGCAGATTTCTCTCTCTTGACACCACCGTTACATCTCATGTCATTTATCCTCCACAATCAGATGAGCTAAAGAAAAACTGCAGGCACTCAAGGTTATAGGTGCTGCATTGATGAAACAGATGGAGCTTACATCTGGACTATTTTATACTGCATACACCAGAGTAACAAAGAGGTATGATCACAATGTCATTTAAAATTACAGCTGTCAACTGTATTAATGAACCCTGCAAATTGTTCAGACTTCCAGGAGGACTCAGAAATTAATTTTACCTAGAAATTAACTTGAATTTTTAATGAGGAGGTTTAAAATGGAACACTATGGAGTAAAGATAGCAAGACGAGATGGTTTTCTGAACAAGCAGACTTGCATAGTCTTTAATAATCCAATGCAAAACATGATAACTTACAAATGCATTAGCAAAAACATCGAAATGTGGAAATATAACTTATATACATTACATAAATTGCAAAGCATCTTAGGTAAATAAACATGTGTTGTCATGACATTTGTGCATAGCCATTTCACTTGATGTTGTTAAAAAAAAGTCACAAAAGACATTTCTGAATGACCCTGCAAAATGTTTGTAATTTTACCGCAACCTATAAGAATAACAGCTGTAATGTACAATATCACACACAATATGATAATGCATTTCAATCATTAACTTATCCATTTAAAATCCTTCACTTTTTAAAAACGTATTACTTTACTTATTTTCTGTTGTAATGCTACAAACTACAATAACGTTTATAGGCTGTTAAGACTCCTATAGCAACATACATAGTTCTATGGGTTATATATTTGTGCAACAAAAAGTTACAATATCTAAAAATGCATTGTAACAGTTGTCAGATGCATCATCGCATGGCCTGCTCTGGTTTAATTTGGCAGTGAAATGAATATCTCTAAAGGCTAACTGTAACAGAACCCTCTCAAAGGAAGAGATTTTATTCATTATACTAAGAGCTGTGAGCCTAAAAAAAATCAAGCAATAACACACCAAATCAAGGACACACCACAATAATATCCAACAGTTATTTAATTATTTAATAGTAGAATATTATTCAAATAATTTCTTTACACACTTCATATATATATATATATATATATACAGTATATATATATATATATATACAAATATTATATTTTTGAATATGAATTATTACTATCAGACAATAAGAGTGTTTATTATTATTCTATTTTTGTTCATCTTCAGACTTTGGCATTGCTTAGCAATATTACAGAATTTATCACCGGTTTGATATATTGGCTACCTTACTTCGCCACTAAAGTGTTATAATAATAAAATGTTAAGTTACTATACCTACTTACAGTACATTAATGTCAATCAGGCCGGCAAAATATGAATGAGATTATTATTATTTTTTAAAGTTGAGTTACTATACCTATTTACATTGTTGTCAGTCAGACTTGTTATGTTATAATAAGGCTTCGTACCTAGTTGTGTTGGCAAGCTGCATTATGAATGAGCAGTTGCTCCACTATAAGAGTTACTACAGTTTTAAAGGCTCAACTAATTGTAACCATGACCATGACTTCTCTATTTCAGCTCAAATAAGCTTCATTGTGAATCTCCCAGTGTCCCCACCATCTCCACCTCCACCCATGGATGATCGTGGCACAAAGTCTATAGTGGCAGTGTGTTTTATCTGACCTTTGCTCTGACTCCAGAAGAACATAAACACAAAGCAGATCGCCACAGAGCTGAGGAAAGAGAGAAATCCCATGGTGGTAGCAATGATGAGGGTTTTCGCATCAAACGGGTAAGGACTTGACACCCGTGCGGAGGAGTTGGTAGAAGGAGGTAATGAAGTTTCCATCCATCCCTCGTCTGAGAAATATGACGCTGTGCGGTTTTGTGGAAGCCCCTCCACTTGCAGACTCACAGAGATGCTGTCGTTGCCTGCTGCATTAGATGCAGTACATAGATACGTTCCACTGTCCTGTACTTGGGTGTAACGCACCTCCAAGCTCCCATTAGCAAGCACTCGTACTCTCCCGACAGAGCTAAGTGCAGTCTGCTGGGCTGACAGCCAAGTAATAGAAGGCGACGGATAGCCGTCTGCTTTGCAGTCAAACCATACGCTCATGCCCTCCACAACACTCAAATCCTGCTGCTGGCGGTTCAGAATCTGCGCTTGTCTGCAAGTAAATATAACCGGGAGATCAGCTTCTGAAAAGTCACGAAAAGCCTTCTTGTGCTGATTTAGAGGCGAACAGGTGGGTTGGCGGCCATCGAAATCCAGCCGCCGCCGTCGTCGCATGACCCAGAGTAACCTGCAGTCGCAAGCCAATGGGTTTCTGTCCAGCCTCAGTGTCTGCAAGTTCCCTACGGAGTGGAAGACGCTTTCTTCCAATGTGAACAGGCGATTCGAGGACACATTGAGCAGACGAAAGTGGACCAGACCCCTGAAGGCACCCGGCTCAATACGTAGCAGGTTCCCACCTACCAGGTGCAACTCTTGGAGCCGCAGAAGCTCCCCAAGAAGGTTGGCCTGTATGGAGGTGATGGGGTTGTAGGACAAGTCAAGGTACTGCAGGTAGGTGAGAGGACGCAGCGCAGCATAAGGTACGGCGCTGAGGTTGCAGTTGCTTAAAATTAAGGTGGTAAGGTTCAGGCCTACCAAGCTGTTGCTATTTAGCATCTCGAGAGAAGGCCAGTGGAGGATCTGCAAGGTGCGCAGCTGGTGCAGTCGGCGAAAGGCATTGTTGGGCAGGACGCTTATGGTCAGCTTGCGCAGACGCAGCTTAGTCAAGCTCTGAAGTTGCGACAGAGCCTCTGTGGGGATGGAGGTCAAATTACTGCGGTCCACATTCAACTCCTTCAGCGTCTGAAGCCCAACAAATGCCCGTTGCGAGATAAACACCAGGTCATTTTCTCCTGCATCAAGCTGCTGTAGATTAATCATGTCCCGAAATGTGTAATCCAGAAAAACCAGGATCTCATTCTCGCTGATATCCAGACGTCGAAGGTTGGAGAGACCAGAGAAGACACCAACCGGGAGGATCTTAAGACGGTTGTTCTTAATCCTCAAGTATCGCAGGTTCTTTAGCCCCTGAAATGTTTCCACCTCAATCATAGAGATTATATTCTCACTTAGGTCCAGGTCCTCTAGCTTTGACAGGCTGGAGAACTGACGCCTGGCCAGCGTTTTCAGCTGGTTTCTTGAAAGATCTAAGCATTTGGCATTGTTTGGTAACCCCTCAGGCACACCTGTCAGGTGTCTTGAGGAGCAGTTGACCTCCAAAGTGTCAAGGTAACAAGTGCATTTTTGCGGGCAGGTGAGGTCTGCAGCCGATAGGTTTATGCACCACAACAGCAGGACTGTCCATGCGCCCCGCCGGCCACACAGATCCATGAACATCTTACCTCCTTCCTGCAAAAAATAAAAAAATGGTTAACGATGTGTCAAATATGAGGAAAAATCTTTAAAAAATTCAATATAAACCCTGTTGAAAAAAACAGCATATGCTGGTTAGGTATGTTTTGAAGCATGGTAGCTGGTCATGAGTTGGTTTAAGCTGGTCCTAAGTAACTAGCTCCTGCTCAGAACCAGCTCATAACCAGCTTATAACCAGGTCAGGACCAACTAAGGACCAGCTTAAAGCAGCTCAAACCAGCTGCCATGCTTCAAAACATACCTAACCAGCATATGCTGGTTTTTAAAAAAGGGAAATTCTTAGAAATGTAATCTTGTTGGTTTTGGAAAAACTTGTATGTTATTTTTGAGAAAAGTTTGAATTTACAATCTACATGTGGGTGCATTTTTTAAGTTTTAAAATATTTCACAAAGTTACAAAGTATATTTTTAATATTTAGAGAGGTAGAGACGCAGTTTTTAAAATATTTTTTCTAAGAATTAATGCCAGACTACTAAAGGTTTTCTTTTCATTAGTTATGTCAGGACAGTTTGATATTTCTGGCTTAATTTCCTCCAAAATATCAAAATGAACTTTAATGCAGAAAATAAAAACATGCTTCTCATAGAAGATGTTACTTTTAGTCATTGTATGTATGAGATGCTTTTGCAATTATGTATTTGTGAATACATTAATAGATATGAACAAAAAAAAAGTGGGTTTTGCCATTGACCCAAATGCATCTTGATCAATCAATGGAACTGTACTAAAATGTAGGTATTAATCTGCATATACAAGAAGCATTTTCAAGAGTTATAGATGTTAAATGATTAAATCAGAAGACAAGCTTTCCTCACTATTTTTTACCAATGGACTACTTACCAAGGGACTTTTGTGGTGCCAGTTCTCATAACCAGATGTTTTCAGGTTGGTATCTATGTTGGGCTCAGTGGTTGTTGAAGATGCATTTAGTCACATTTAGACGTCACACTTCCAAAAACCTAAAGCCAGAGAGAAGAGAAGAATCAGCAAAAAATGATTGATACTGTGTTATGATGATTTGTGCTAACAATCTCTTTAATCCTCTGCTTTTAGACAGACTGACTGATCCAGACACAGCGGAAGTTGTAAAACAGCTTTTCATCCATTTCTGATGAAGGACGACAGTGGAATGTTCTAGACCTGTTTGGGTGTGAGACTGTCATTTGAATGCGCCGTCATTAGGTAAATAAAAATGACGAGACATGTGACAGCTGCACAGTAACACGCTTATTTCCCTTTCTACTGCTCTAGAGCATCTGAGCATCTGTGAGAAGACAGGTGTGCAGGGCACTTTCACTACAGTCCAGCTTAGCCTCATGTCACAGGGTGCAGGTGCACAGGCCTGGACACAAATTAGGAATTACCCACCCAGCATGGACAGACGTTCAGTTTAATGGACAGAGCTGTGCCAAATGACATCAGACATTCAACAGAACACAACACAACACTGGACTGCTCACTAATACATGCATGGAATCCTGTTTCCACCACAGAATAAAAAATATCAAAGGTACTTGTGACTCTATATACACATTTCTGACTTTTTTTCTCACTATTCTGAGACAAGATATTAACTTGAAATTCTCAGAAGAAAATTTTGTGAGATATAAAATCACAATTACCTTTATTTTTTATTCTGTAGCAGAAAAAAAACAGAACTGCATAATGTAAAGTCAGAATTCTCAGGAAAAGTCTGAATTGTGATATGAAAACTTATCATTTATCTATGTATGCAGAAACTGACTTCCATATAAATTAATTCAGCATACACTGAATCAAGATTAAGATCTTAACATACATGCACTGAATCAAGAGTAAAACTGCACTAAAAAAATGAACTATTACAGCAATATAACCTTACACAACTTGCACTGAACTTGTAATGCGATGGATTGAGATTCGTTCTTTCAACAAGTGTCCTCAGCTATTTAGTCTATTTAGATTTGTTCGTTCACTGAATGGTAAATGTCTCCTGCATCTGCTGAAGTCAATGAGCAGCACAGGAATCATTTATTCATTTATCATTATCACACACAGTTTTTATTTATTGCTCGCCTCTGAAAGTCTGTTTCCTTCTTATTCCTAACATTTTGCATCATAAAGATGTTTTGCTTTCATTTATTATTATAGGTAAACAGCCTCAACACTTCACACATAAACCTCAGTAATGGTGACAATTAAAAAAACAGTTAAATTAAGCACAAAACTGAGCTTGAAATAAAACATTAGAAAGTAGCAGTGATTACAAAAACAATATCAGGATAAAACAAAAACCGCAAACCATGTGAAAACACTTTTTTTATTAGAAGATGCATCTCTAAATTATCACATTAGCAGACCTGTTTTGTAATACTTAAAAAAAACTACCTAAATTGAAGTTAAATTGCTTAATAAATCATAAGTTTACATTGAATTTGTAAACATTTCCAGTAGTCCTTTAATGAATGAAACAAAATGGGTATAAACTCCTACCTTGTCGTGACAAATTATCTCTATTAATGCAGTCCTGCATTACACCTCTCCCACTGCTTGCTTGCTTATTATAGCTTATTCACATGGGTCTGGGTTTCTCACATCTCCTGTTTACACACAAAGCTTCTATTTTGAACTTGTTCCTGCTGAAACCACTTAAAATGAGGGTGACTTGTTTCCCCCGAGTCCAGTGTCGTCCCCTGTCTCTACACAAAGGCCTTATACTGGCCAAATAAGCTGACTCATAATGCTGTATCTAGCGAAAGGAGAGAGAGAGTCAATCCTGGCTTGGCTGTTTTGACACCATATTGGTTTTCCACACAGCAGAGAGCCTGGCTTACACAAATTAAAGTTGCAAATCCCTCTCTGTCGACTTGTGAAAGACAGTGCAGCAGGTGTACGAGATCTGGACATGGAGGTGACGAAACTCATGTCCTGTGTCTTGCTGCTTGCCTTTACACACTGTATGACAACTAAGCTCATCTCGATTGTTATTAATGACAGCAAGAAAATATAGTCTAAGTGAATTTGATGTCATTATTTCAAGGTTGAAACAAATTAACAGCTGACTTTGTGGATGCAATCAAATAAAGTGAAATTAAAGTGAAATTTTCTTGTTCTGTACATTTTTTACATACTTTTTATTTTTATTTATTTTTCCTGTTCTCTCTTTTCTTCTTTTCTCTCTATACTATGTGGTTTGAATTGTGTGTATATTGCATATATTCTATATATTCATATAAAAATATAATATACAAAGAAATGAATATATATATGAAAACACTATATATATATATATATATATTACTAATCAAAAATTAAGTTTTTATATATTTACTGTAGGAAATTTATCTTTACTTAATAACCTAATGATTTTTTGGCATACAAGAAAAATCGATAATTTTGACCCATACAATGTATTTTTGGCTATTGCTACAAATATACATGTGCTACTTATGACTGGTTTTGTGGTCTTTTACTGAAATATAAAATAATATAATACAAAATGTATACACATAAAAATATTTTAAACCACAAAAATATATTTATATATATAGATTTTTTTCATTAACACTGTCAAAATTTAAATGACCAAATTTGTGGCCCAAACTCAAGAAGATGCCTCTTAGTAAAACTTTTGCATAATCAGCTACCGCGACTGTCTACATACCAGCTTTGGCAATGCTCTTATCTAACAAACAACACTCTGCCAAACACTGAGTGTGCCCTTGTCGATCTGATGCACTGTCATCACAGTTAGCTGGCCTTCACTAAGCTGAACACACATATTGTGTTGTTTTCTCATATTGGGCCTGACTTTCATACTTTCACGTCAACAATCAAAACTCATCAGAGTCAGACAGGCTTCATTAGGTTACAGTAAATGACATGGACCTTTGCCAGGTACTATAAACAGGGGAGCAAAACCTTTCCTCTGCTGCTGTAGCTGTTCCCCTGACTCCATTAGAAAACCACAACACTTAAAGCCTCTGCAGTCTGACTCCAATTTGCACTTCACTGACTCCAGGCGTGCAATGGGCTTATAACCGTGCTAAAAGAAGTACTATTGAGTTTTAGCTGTGTATTTTTGTGCGAAAAGGTCAGGAGAGGGACGTGCCCAGCAAACAGATGAGGGAATCCAGACGTTTTGAAATTAATATTTAACATTAGAGGATATTCACAAAATGCCAGCCAAACCCACAAGAGATTTTATTTTTATCCTTATTTTGGCTGATCTTACATTAACTGTGTCTAAAATCGCAGGAACTCTTCAGTGACGATATCAGAGGTCTCTGACCTGCATATTTAGTGTGATCTCTAACCTCTAAGTGCATCCAGGGAATGTACTTCACCTGTCTCTCGGAGCCCATGCTATTCTCGTCCCAGCCGGGTGAAAACTGCCCAGAGCCACTCTCCAATTTCCAATTAGAATTCCTCACATTAATTCTTCACAGCAACAATTGCAACTGAGTGAGAAAGAGGCTGTTTATGGCTCCTGGCCCTCCATCCCCGCCACAGAATGCAGCCATGTGAATGAACGCAAGTATTAAAAGCTTTCTGAAACAGGTGTTGTTTAGCAATGGGAGATGATGACAGATCTTCTGGACATGGAGTATTTGTTCCCTTCGAGCTTGCCCGGACAACGAAAAAATAAATATAACAGAGAAGGTGCAGGTTCACACTTGGATGCACAAACCACAGATGCTTCCTCAAAGTGTTTGTATTTCAAGCCCACAGTGAATTTACAAGATGCTTCTGCTCATCCTTCTGTAATCCGCTTTTTGCTGAAAGCCACAAGGATGGTTTAAAAGCATCTCTGTTGTGTGCCTGCATGTGTACCATATAATACAAGCATTTATAGTCTCAGCTCCAGTTGATGTGTGACTGATTTTGCTGCTTTAGTCTAAAGGAGTGTGAGAGGAAGATAATCTGACAAGGGTGGCTACAGGCCTGTAACAATCAGTTTGTACTGTAAACACTTCAGGCTGTAATAAAATGTGTTTTGTGGCAGTGGGTTTGCCCATTTTGCAGACACTTCATGCTTTTAATATCAGCTTATGCATTCCCTGGGAATCGACAGCAAACAACATTGTTCAGTACTAAATTAATTATTAAATTATTGATTAAGTTATGGTTATCGACTGAGTTTTTTTTTTTTTGGTAAATATTAAATATTTAAATGTGCATTTGTTTTTACATTTAGATTGTCCTTGCTGTCATCTAGCGGTATTACTAATTTTATAAAATGTTTAAATTATATCTTTAGCAAATCAGAAAATTAATATCTATTTTTTATGCTGTGCATTATAATTTTGTGATGCCTAAATTCACTTGTAGCATTTAAAATGATTGATTTCAGTTTTTAGTATTTATTTATTAAAACAAAACAGTATTGGATTTTTAATATTGGACATTTATCTGTTACCAGCCATAACATCAAAATTATTATCTTAAAGAAAATTTGTTGAAAATGTACCCTCAGGCCAAATCCACAATCCATAATAATGCTTCTTATAGTAAAGAAGTACATTCCCCTGTTGTACTCTCACATCAAAATCCACCATCATATTTGTTTAGAACTGTTTTCAAACAGTGCTTGAAACAGAGTTTGATGTGTGCATATTTCTCCCCTAATTCAGACAAGACAACTTTTTTACTGGAGAAAGCAATAATATGGATAGAGGACTTATTTTAGCCAGAAGTTTGTAGATAAAAATGTCTTGATGGATTTGTTTATTATAAAGACAGCTTTTTCACTTCACAAGACATTAATTGATGGACTGGATCATGTGGAGTATTTGTGGATTATTGTGATGTTTTTATCAGCTGTTTGAACTCTCATTCTGACGGCACCCATTCACTGCAGAGGATCCATTGGTGAGCATGTGATCTAATGCTAAATCTGTTCTGATGAAGAAGCAAACTCAAACGTGCTACTGTTGTATGAATTATTTAGTTTTGCGGCAGAAAGCAGAAATAAAACTTAGTAAAAAATGTATTAAACAAATAAGTGCTGTAGGTATTGGTCACATAAAATGGTATCTAATATATTGTATATGTTGTGTTTATTTTACTCAAACAAGCAAATATGAATGTTCATGCTTCTTTGTTTTTCATGATTATGTGGAGCAGCTGAGAGAGGTCACGCTGGGTTTAGATCACAACAGTCTGAAGGACAGATTATGATAATTCAGCTTTGTGCTGGTCACTTTAGTCAGTGCATGTACATTGTGTAACCCAAAGATAATCAAATATAATGCAAAAGGAAAATATGTGTGGAAAAAAATGAACATGAGATCATCTCACATGTTCCTACTGCATGCCAGAAGGCAGCACACATATGTGTATCAGTGTTTTAAACTAACTTCAAAAGAACTTTTCAAGGACACGCAAGTAAGGTCACCTCAGGCTAAACTGAAGGCATTAATGTAACTGGGTCATTGCACAAGTTCATTGTTAATTTTAGGCATTTTTTTGGACAACGGATGACAAACATTTGCATATACGCTGTATAATATAAACCTGTGAATCATTCAGCAGCAAAAGCATCTGCAATACAGTAAACATGCTGGTGGGACAGAGATAATTTGTTTGTGAAGGCCCAGATTCAGATTTCATTCCAGTTATGCACTTTTCTTGAAGAAGAGAGTATAAATCAAGTCTGAGTCCATTGATTTTTAGTGTGATTGTGGAGAGGTCACACATATGGATGTGGTTTAGGCTCATATGTCATCTGTGAAAAGCACAGAATCTGCTTCACCCATGTATGTATTAGACGTCCATTGATTTTAATCCATCAATTGAGGTTGCAACCCAGTCATGCTGACAGATTGCCTCCCATCCAGGGTCACAGATCCAGCTCTCAAATGAAACGTCCTTACACGAAAAACAGCTATTGCTTAGTTAAAAGATAGGTCTGGTCTATTGGGAAATTTCGCCAGGGAGACCTCTGCATCTGGTTGCGTGTTGTAATACAGGACACCCATTAGCAGGGTCATATGGTGCCCTGGATAGTTCAGTGTTTAAGCAGTCTTAAATAGGTCAGTTTTAGGGCAGCAGGATTACACAAAGAACCAGGATGATGCTCACAATGTGAGGCAGACTTATCGGGCCCCAAATCGCAAATTTAGTCCTGCTGTGGTTTATTAAAAAGGCAAAAATGTTTAAAACAGGGCATCTGCACCTGTTCAGTGATATTAAACCCTGCTCCAAAATGACCTCATAGCGGCAGACCTCATAAATCACATGCCGATACATATGAGGGCGTGATGAGAATGTCGAGTGACCAAGCAAAACAAACCAGTGATCAAGTAAGTGCTTTTACCACTCCGCCCCATCAACCAGTGATAAATCAGGCCCTGCTGTGCATTACAACTCTTCTGATTAAAGTGCTCATCTGGACCGGCCCCAAAGCTTGCGCTCCTTTAGCGCTGGCTCACGCGGGGTGCGACGGGAATTTGCTGTGCTGCACATCACTTGCGGTGCGGGATGCTGTTTGAAATCTCATTAAAGAGAACTTGCACAGATTGATTAATGCTAATTAAGACATCTATGACTGCCAGGCGTCTCAAAAGCCTCAGTGACCGTGTGACCTGAGACAGAAAGCCGAACACACCTGGTGCGCACAGTGACCACTGAGGTCCCGACTACTATTTTTAGTTGTATATTTGATTCCTAAAAGAAAGGCTATCAAAGTTATGTGCCTCATAGGACTGATCTGGCCCTGTTAAGTGGGCTTTAATAAACAATGCAACAGATCTATCAATCAATCAATCTATCTATCTATCTATCTATCTATCTATAAAAGAAAGGCTATCAAAGTTATGTGCCTCATAGGACTGATCTGGCCCTGTTAAGTGGGCTTTAATAAACAATGCAACAGATCTATCAATCAATCAATCTATCTATCTATCTATCTATCTATCTATCAAGAGTCAATGACTCTAATCAATGCTTTAATTAGTCTGTCTATCTATCAATCAATTAAAATGAATGAATCAACCAACAAATCGGTCTATCATCTATCTAATTCTATCTATCTATCTATCTATCTATCTAGAGTCAGCGAGTCTAATCCATGCTCTGGCAATTAGTCTATCAATCAATGAAACTCAATGAATGAGTCAATAAATCCATCCATCCATCCATCCATCCATCTATCTATCTATCTATCTATCTGGTTAAATCAATGCTTTCCTACTCCAGTTTTACAAACATAGCTGATATTTTTAGGCAAATTATTTTTATATTTTTAAAAGTTTATAAAAGAAACAAACGTAAGAAAACATTCAAACTGAAAACGTAAATATGCCTTCTACAATATCACTTCTACATTGGAAACCAACGTAAATAAAATTATTTTGATTACAACTGTATAAGAAAAGCCGTCAACTTTATTGTCTGTTTTTTTGTTGTTTGTTTGTTTGTTTGTTTTTAGCTTAGAATAATTTAATATACAACATGTTTTGCCACCCACGTCTGGTTGTGACAAAATTAGTTACTTCCAAATTAGTCGTAACCCTGAAGAACTCCAAACAAACATTGTTTTAAATATAGCCTGCATAAAGTATCGCAACAAAAAACACAAAGCGGAACTCACCCGCTTCCCTCACGATATCTGCATGGCAGCGATATCATAGCTCTCCAAGTCTCTGTCCATCTCGGTTTGCAGTTCCTCACTTCTGCACAATGTCCTCTAACATCGTGCTCAGAAAGACGACGAGCATGTCTTGAGACAAGACCCGAATGTTTTTAATCGCTTTGCTCCTTCATTAATTCCTTCTGTCTACGACACATCCCTCCAGGGTCTAGTAGGATAATTGTAACCTTAATTTAGGTTGGCTGTTCTCCGCACTGACGCTCCTCTGCACTCGCTCCTCTAACTTCCAGCTCCCACCGGCCCGTTTCTGTACGAGTGAACATCCCAACCCCAGCGGTTTTAGAGAGCAGATCGGTGTTTACTAGTCTATTCAGCAGAGCTGATGAAGGATAACACCTCGTGAGGGCACTCTGAGAGAATGACAGATATTTGCGCGGCTTGGCCAAATCTCCGGATTTAGGTAAAACAGCAGATGGTTGCCTGAGTGAGACTCGTGGCTTGTAGATGGTAGAAAACATCTCATAGGACACATGTTTGCTTCAGTCGATTTATACGATAAGACTCACAGTGTTAAACTAAATGTGACTTTTTGTGGTAAACAAAAATGTTAATTGCATAGTATTTGCATAGGTTTTAATTGCATAGTATTTGTCGAAAAGAGAACAGCATGCCTACACAAAACTAAGATTAAATTTTTTTTTAATTTAAGGTAAAAGGATGTTGCTGGCTGTCAACTTTATCTTAATAATACGGTGACAACATTAAACGAGTTACGGAATGGCATAGAATCAGCCATAAAAATTTTATTAAAAATCTCACGCTACAGGCCTAAACATCAACTAAAAGACAATGCACATAGGGAATTATGGGTAGCCTATGCCCATTTCCACATGAATAATATTCGATTCTTATACTTGTAGCCTATACCTAATAAAATATAATATATTGATAATAACCTAATTGTTACTCTTATGTATTACAATACTAGTAAATACAATACATCTGTAAATAAATTTGCAATAAGATTACATTGTCGTTGTGTAATATATATATATATATATATATATATATATATATATATACACACA